ATTCAAATGAAAGATCAACTAAATTTGAGAGTCTTAACCAAGAATAGAAGTATTTAGAGGAGGAAAATAGCAAAATGACAGCTCTTCAAATATCACCTAAAATAGAGAGTTTGTATGGATTGGGTAGACAGGCCAAAAAATTTTAAGGGGTTGTATGGAATTTTTGCAACTTTTGCAAGGCTCCGATTTGGACAATTTTCCGCTGAAAACTCTCAAACTTGTCTGCGTAGCGTTTCATTCGGTAATATTTCAATTGAAATGTTTAGATTTTCAATGTAATCAATATAAGAAACTCGCCCCAGTCCTCTCACGTTTCTGCAATGGGCTATATCAAATGGATTATGACAAGGGATGAAAAGTGTTTTCTCAGGAACATACCTCAGTAATCCACCGACTTAAGTATCAGTCTAGCATCAAATTTTCTGGCCCGGTTTCTCTTGTTCACACTTTTTCAGAAAATTTACTTGAAATGGCTAAGTTATAGCCTAATTTTTAGCGTTTCTTGACTTTGCCAATTTCTCATCGGCTAGTTTGAAAACAAAAGTTGACTTTTTCCGTATTTAAAACCCCAGGCGTTTGATCGGCAACCAGCTTGAGAAGCTACCCCGCAACATATTTCACGGATTGACCGACTTGGAGAAGCTGTAACTAATATCAGTTTTCGTAAATCTTTCTCAACAATATCAGGTTTAAATGCTAACTTAAACTTTACTTTGTAATACGCTGTGTAAATGCAAAAACTGAGCCTTGGAGTAGTAACGAAAATTGGTCGTGGTGCGTTATCATTCACGTGATTACGATGCAGCAAAGGAACCTTCTTAACCTAGCTAGAAATGGTGGTTTGAACAGCCTTTTCTGAAATGGTCATTAAAGTACTGCGGTTAAAAAAGCTGTTCTCAGTAAAATGTTTTTCCACCATTGGTAAGTTCTGCAGTAATCCTATTCAGTGAGTATCAGACACAGCCGGAGTTTCTCTGTTGTAAGGGAGAAGGAAGCCGGCTAAGTGAAAGGCTTAATAGAGTGGGGAAAGAACCTCGTTCCCATACTAGATTTTCGGGCCGCAAGATTTAAACTTAGTCTCGAAAGCAAGTCTAGACCTTTGTTAAAAATGCCGGCAATGATGTTTACTTCAAATCCAGATCCGAAGAGGAAGATTACACGGGCTTAGATTTTATCCAAATTTTTCCTCGTAGTTTTTACACCTACTGATGTATTTCTATCTTACAATCGTTTGCGAGTACCTCCAATGTTTTACAATATTTTGAGATTATTAGCCAGTGGCGGATCAAAATATTAGAGGCTTATGTCAAAATTATCCCACTCGGCGGAGAGGATAAATCAGTTGATAATAAATGGAAGAAGATGAACAAGCGTCTTAGACTTAGACTTGTTTCTCCTCTTCCTCTTATTATCGTAGCCTTCTCCTACTAATTATAAAAGCTCATAAAACGTTTCAGGCAATTGCAAATATTTTAAAGATAGAAATTATTAAAAGGTGATAAGATCTACGGAAAACAAAATTTGACATTTTAAACCCGTGTATTCTCCTCTCTGTTTTCTTCCCTTTTCCTTGCAATTAACACATTTTCCAAAAACTGTGCAACGTCTTATTGTCAGGGACCTATCTTTCAACCAGTTGCCCAACTTGACTCGAGGTGTTCTCAGCACAAACACCAAGCTGAAAGAAAACA